AGGTTTCTTAGTGTGGCGAAAGATATTTGCGTGCAGATAGTTTGGAATATAACCTTGAATTATGTGTGGAGTAGAATATATTAAATTTTATTAATAATTTTATATCTTAATTATCTTAATATCTACAAGTAGAACTTGAACTAGAAGAAATTTTTAAATGAAAAAAAAGAAAACTTAGCCTTACTTCAGATATAGCAGAGTATTTTGAAACTAAAAATAATATGAGTTTACAATCTAAAGAATCTCTGAGTATTATAAGTGATAATAACAAGATAACAATATAGAATTTACTAGATAGTATTAAAAGAACTCAAGTTTTTGAAATAGTTTAATTCTTGGGAAAAGTTGAACTTATAGAAATAATCAGAAGCTTATCTGATAAATCTAAAGCTGTAGTAAGCTTTAGAGAAAACTCATGTAAAGAAAGAAAATTAAAAGAAATATAGTGCTATCTTTTATAGATCAAATCTTGGTTAGAATAATATCAGGAGTTAATGATCATAAAATGCTATATGCAAGAAGTAGATACAGTAGAAGATTTCTAGAACTTCTTGCAAATACAAATGAAGTGCTCTTATGAAAACAAATCAAAAAAACAAGAGCTAAGGCAATTCATATCTTCAAAAACTCAAATGATAACAAGATGAGTAGTATAACAATCTATTTTGAAAAAGAAGAAAACAGAGTAAATAGCTCTAATTTTTTAATGCACTATTATAATAGCAAGTTGAAATAAGCAGAACTAGACCAAAAATCTTCAGAACTTATAAGTAATATAAATCATAAAGATTATAGTATAGCAAAAGAAAAAAGTGCTAAGAGTCTAAGAAAAAGAAAAGAGATAACATATGAGCAAGAAGCTGAATGCTCAAAACATATTCAGAAAGTAGCAAAGAGTAGTAAAGTCTAAAAGAAAAGCCTTGTTTTGAGTAATAGCAATACAGAAAAACTAAACTTAGATAAACAACTTCTAAGAATCTGTCAAGAATTATTACTTGTATATATAACTCAGTAGCTTCAAAGCTTTGAAGAGATGATAATGGATATCAGAAAAATAATTTAAAATTACTCCTAATTTTTGTACTAGTTAAATTAAAGAAAGCCCTTAATAAGCAAGAAGGAAAACTTGCTCAGAACAACAGGGTACTACTAAACATAAACTAACTAGATGAAAGTAGCAAAAGTTGTAATAGAAAAAGTAATGCTAGTAAAGTTAGAAGATGTTTAAGAATTGCTATACATAATATTAATAGTCTAAAAAGGAATAAACACAAAATAGAGCCAATAATTGAAAGAATAGAAAGTGAGGAATACACTATAATAGGATTAGTAGAAACTAATATTATGAGTAAAAAGGGTTATTATATAGTTAATTAAAAAAGTAACATTAGTAGTTTTTGAACTAGTGCAGAAAAAGAGAAGAACAAAGAGTCAGGTATCAGTGCAATAGTAAGTAGCAAATGAGCAAAACATGTAGGACAAGTTAAAAAACATAGTGGATATCTTCTGGAGTTGCATTTCTTCTTTAGACAACTAGAACTAGTAGTTTTTATAGTATATATAGTACTGAATAATTAACAAAAAGAAAAAAAATACAAAGAATTATGATAAAAAAAATCACTCAGAAAAGACCAAATATGCAATTTGTAATAATAGGTAACTTTAATTATATTATACAACTAGCATTAGATAGAAGTAGTAATACAAATAATAACTTCAAAAAATTGCTACTATATGGTTAGATGATTAAACAAGATTTTATAAATACTTTTAGAGAAAAATACTCAAGTAAAAGAGGTTTTATATGAAGTAATAGAAAAGACAAAATAAGAATTGATCAGATCTGAGTATTAAGCATACTAGGATATAGTTTAGAAGAAGCATTAATTAAAGATATGAGTATAGATACAGGTAGTTATCATGATTTAATATCAGCTAGATTAATATTAAATTATCTAGAATATAAAAGTAGTTTAGTACAAAAAAAGAGAAAAGAAAAGAAGTGAACAATCTTTGAATATGACAAAGCTACTATTGAAGACTAGAATAACTATAAAGAGAAGCTATACTACTTGCTTAAAAAGTATATAAACCCAAAGCTATAGCTAAAGTACTTTGATCTGAGCAATTTTGCAGACCACCTTGATAATATAGATTTAAATAGAGAATATAATAGTATAAGTAGATGTATTAAACAAGCTGCAGAAGAAGAGATTCTAAGGAAAAAGATTTTGAACTCAGGAATTAACAAAGCACTAAAAAAGAGATGTACAGAACTACAGATAGCAATAAACAAGCTAAAAAAGATTATTAGAAGATACAAAAAAAGAAAAAAATTCTAATAAAATAGAGATAAGCAATATGAGTTAGAAATAGAAATAGAAGAAATAAATAAAAACACAGACTTAAGTATAGAATTACAAGATAACTTATAGAGTGAACTACTATTAGAAGAACTTACCTAATAGTGGTCAATAATCAAAAGGAAGCTAATAGCAGAGAATATGAATATAATTAACCTAGAAATAAGAAAAAGTGTAAATTAAAGATATGAGATACTAAAAGATAATTAATGAAGAATGATTAACAGTATATTAGAAAAACTCTTTAAAAAAGTAGCAATTGATAGAATTCTAATTAATAAGTTAAAGATAAAAATTTCCTTAACAACTTAGAGAAAGTATTAGAAAAAATTGCAAAACACTTTAACAAATAGTTTAAGAAAAGAAACTTTCATGAAAAAGAAATATTAGATGAGTGAAAAGAGATTTACAAGCCTATCACAAGAATAAAGAAAGGTTTATAAAAAATTTAAGTAACAAGATAATGAAAGAAGAATAAGACCAAATGTTATTTAAACTTAAAACAAATATAGCTCTAGATATATCAAGTATTAGATATATACTAATTAAATAAGCAAATTTAGAAATGCAAAAAGTCTTTAGAAACTTTGTGAGTATCTGTATAGCAAATAGAGAAATACTATTTAAATAGAAAATTGGCTAAACTTATTCTATTTCTAAAGATATAGAATGAGAATAAAATCTAAATAATATAAGACTGATAGCACTTCTAGAAACCTTCTAAAAATATATAACTAAGATCTTTACTACAAGATTAGAAAAAATTAGAAAAAATAATCTGCTTGAAGGACTAAACTTCACAGGTTTTATAGGAAGCTCAACAGAAAACCTAATTTATATCTTAAGCATAATAATAAAAGAAGCAAAAAAAAAAAACTAGAAGCTAAGGTCTGGTGATCTTAGTGTAGTGGTTAGGTTGTCAGACCACCATGCAAGAGGTCTGGGGTTCAAATCCTACTATCGACGAATTTGAATAATTACTCAGACCTTTGTACCTAACTTACAGTAAACTCTATCCATTTCTGAGGTTATAACCCTTTAAGTTAAGTTGCACTAAGTCAATTAGACATTGGTAGTGTGGCAGCAGTTAATTACAGAATGATATGCGTACATGAATAAATCTTGATAGGAAAAATATTAGTGTGGTGGCAGTTAATTACAGAATAATATGTGCACACGAATAATCTACAAGCAGGAGACCTGCATAGTAGAAATCCTGAGTTGGTAAAGTAGTATGGCTTTCAACAGTCATATCAGCTAATGCTTGATCCAAAAAAGAAACTATCATCAAAGATGCAGATCGAGTTGGGTGCGTATAAATCCGTTCCACAAGAAAGATCAGTAATACTAATCTGGCTTGGCGGCTAACTGGATTAGGAGAATCTGCTTTATGAAATATTTAAGATTATAGAATACAGAAAACTAGTGGAGAGCTACGGTAGAAACTGGAGTTGTATGAACATCTACAAGGATCTAAACTAGGTGAGCTCATGAAATAGGTATAGGCCGCTCTAGTAGGTTTGCTTCGAGGTTAATAGGAGCTCTGCGAGCTCACAATATATTAAGTAATAAGCATTTTGAGAGGATCTAAGCTGGTGTCGAAAAATAGATCTATAACAAGCTAGCTGGCTTAAATGATTAGGTGTTACAGTAATATTAGTTTGTAACAGTATGAGTTAGTTGAACAGAGTGTTTAAATAGGTAACTCACAGGCAGGTTACAGGTATAGCAGCATAGTGTAGAACTAATCAGGTAGTCTATTGTCTGTGCAGCAGACTACTTAAATTAGACAATGACTAAAGTTGTACGAGTAGCTTGTTATACACTCTTCATGTAATTACAAACTGTAGGGATTACCCTTGTGAATCTCGTATATCAAACTAATAAAAATCACCCAGCAATGTAAGCTACCTTAAAAATAAAAATAATAATAATATTATTATTATTATCTTATTCTATATATTATATAATACTATTCTTTCTACTTTATAATTATCAGTTATAAAAATTTTCAGTTCAACTACAGGACTATGTCTACTAAAAGCTAATACTGGCATAACATACTTAAGCATATCTAAGGCTTTTACAAAAGTACTTGTTGTTTCATCAGAAGTAAGTATAATAGCAAGAAGTAGGCTACTAATGAGTATACTTGTTAAAAGAATCATTATTAGGGTATTAAGTATATCAAGACCTGCTATAGTATTCATATAAACTAATTTACTAGTTTGCTACAGAGAATGACAATATCTCAGAAGGTTTGTTATAATAACTAAAACAAATAGTTGCCTAGAATTAGTATCTGTAGATGTGATATATATTGTATTAAAGTATTTCTTTTTTTATTAAAATTAAATTTTTAACTTCTTCTACTAATCAACTAAACATTTCTTTTTCATTTTGTATACTAATAAACTTGTTAAGATATTTTTGATGAAGATAAAAAACATTATATTTATATGAACAAATCACTCTATCAGCAAGTATAGCCTCATCATTCTAATATTTTAATTATATTTCTTCTATATATATATATGATATGTACTAGTTAAATTGTATTCAGCATGGAAAAGTTTAAAAAATGTCTCTTTTGTCTTATCAAAAATAGAATAAAAGCTTGTTATATGATTTGATGCAAAGGGATAGTTATAATGAAATTTTAAAAACATTATACAAGAATGTAAATTGAAAATATTTTGTAATTGTATACTAAATATTGCAAGACAGTTGGTATTTCGTATTCATATATTAATTAATTTGTTTTTTTGTTATTTATATTTTTATTTTCTGCATTAATATAATTATTGTTTTTTTTTAGTCCTTGTTTTAACTTCACTGTATGACTATAGATGCAATAAAATCATTTGAAAAGAAGATATTTAACCCTTTTAATTATTTACCCTTATGTTTCTCATATAGTAACTTTGTACAAATTAGAAAATTCATCAAGCTATTTCATAGTATCATCAACTGTATTAATATTTACATGAAGTTTTACTTCAAAAGGTTTAGCAAACACACTCAAAAAATTTAATGCTTGTAATAGTTTGAATAAATTAATAATATAATTGTAATTTAAAAGCAAAGTATATTCTAAAGTTATAAGATTATTTATTATAATATCTTGTAGTTCTATATTCTAAAACAAATAAATATATAGTATAATAGTTTATATATTTTTATTATTTGACTTCAGTTTCATCTCTCTAAAATAAATTTTTTAAGCATCAAGTACAACAATAATATTTGTAACTAGAATAAAAGTGTAAGAAACAAAAAAAAAAATATACAAGGTAAATATAAATTTATTTGCCTGTTAGACTTTAAAAAAAATATGAAATATAGTCATAAAATACGTTATAAAATATATAAAAAGCACAAAATTAAATTATAATCTATAACATAATAAAAAAAAATTTGTCAAAATAAAAGCAAATATGACTAAGTATTTCAAGCTACTCAAATATGATGCAGTTATAATAAAGAAAACAATTTTATATATAACATAAAACAAATGTAAAAAAAACTACTATGATCACTTTTATTAGCTAAATTAAATAATAAATTTTTAAACTATTTAATAATAAAGTAAATAAATTTTAAAAACTCATTAAAGTTATTTCAAACTATATATAAATTTTACTTTTATCATATGTGTTAAAAATTTAGAATATTCTACGTATAAGCTAAATTTCTATTTTAATAAAAATCTTAAAATAGTTCAATTTAATATGAAGAGATGATTTGTTAATGAGTATGCATATACTGCCTTAAAAATTTTATATATATATACTATCATAGATTGTTTTTTTTTTTTTTTTTTTTTTTTTTTTTTTTTCTTTCCAAGACAATCCCTAAAACCGTATAAGTGTCTCACCGTACCCGCTCCCCACACTCCAAACCCTTCCACTC